TTATTATCCAAGATTTTAGGAGCGTTACATCCTTCCAGAGGATTTGCTTAGGTGCTTGGATATGTGACTGATTAGAACTGGCTTGAATCAACGTAGTACTACCTAAAGGACTTTTCTGTAATGCATGCACATTCAGGTTTGTGGTAATGCATTTATAATAAATCCGGTAGAGAAGTACTATGGATTTAGTTTTTTTTACCAATTTAGCAATGCTTCCTGTTAGCTTTATTCCTAAGGTTAAAGCTAAGGGAATATTTTTGCATCTTAAACTTAAAGTAAAGTCAGGGAAACAATTGAAATAAATTGGTCCTTTATGAAGACCTGTTTCTATGATACCAATGATATTGGGTTCATATTCAAGGAACCTAGCATCTCTTAATGTTAACAAGGCTACCGAATTCTTTCCTTGTTGAGTTAATGGTTTAATAGCTACTTGCACTAAACCAAGGTGAATAAAATTAAATCTTTTTCCCTATGTTTCTTAAGGGTTTTGGGACTCAATAGTTGGCAACTTTGTTCTTCCTTAAAGAGAGAATAAACTTGTTCAATAGTTTTTACCTGTAATTCTTCATTAAAGGCTTTAAGGAGCCAACTAGTTTTGTAGATGTCTCGATGGGATACCTTTGGGATATTCTAACCAGTCCAATCTATTCTTGTTCTCCAAACTCATGTTCTTCTTCATTTACTATATTAGGTATAGTATCTAATGAAGATCTAGATGAGCTAGCCATAGAGTTAGATCTAAATAATCTACTCATAGTTAAATCTAGTTTTTTAATTTTATAAATTTTTGTTTAATTTTTGACTTCATTGTACATACCCCTAACATATTGATTCCCTCAGAACCTGTCTGTTTTCCCTCAAAACTGCCTACACAAGGACTTACACAATGGGAATGGTCGACTATTCTCTCTCGGGAGATAAAGGCTGGGTGACAAGGATAGACAAAACTCAAATAATAATTTACTAAATTAAAATGGGAGAGATTTAACACAAATAAGATGATTTAAATATAATTGCATGGCTTTGATACCAAAATACGACAAGATGCAGAATTCATGTGAGTTTAAGAGAATCACAAGATGTAAATATAAAAGTGACAAAATAATGTTTTGTCTTTATAAAAATTCTTATTTAAATGAACAAGATGTAAATACAAATTACAGAAATAAAATACTTACAGTACTAGCACCAAATGGGCTAGTAGTGAAAGAGAATAGATGAGAGTCTCTTCATTTGCATCATTATGAGAGATCTCAGAATACAGATTTACTTGTGAAGGTAGGAGAGAATTGTGTCTCTGGTGTGTAATGTGGGTTTCAAAAAACCTCTGCCTTCAACTGAAATAAAGCAACCATTTTATAGGCGTCAAGATTACTTAGAGAATCTTTTGCAATGATTTCTTCTTTTGCTTTTACCAAAGGTAAAGACAATTCACTTCATCTTTCGGTGGAAAAGCAAGGGTAAATTACTTTAACTCTGGGTGACTTTTGACTAAAGGACACTAGGTGGGTCCTAATGTCTGAAACATGGTGCAGAGTGCTAGGTGGGTTCCTGCTCCGAACAAAAAGAATCTACTTTCGATGGAGAAAGCAGATTTGATGGGATCAGTCGGTGTTTTACTAGTGGAAAGAACCGAAAGAACAGTTGATATCTTGACTTTATACATAATAGATAACTTTTATTTCTTGGTAGAAGAAGAAAGTAGTGATTGAAGCTATCACGCATAAGGAAAAAAATCATGGGGAGGCCAGGTCAGGGGTGAGGTCATCACAATCAGCATATGGATCTTGGGCATCTGGATCCATATTGGCATATAGGTTGACTGAACCTGTGGAGGATGCTGGTGAAGACGAACCACTACTGGCTGCTTGTTGAAGAAGCTTCTTAGCCATATCAAGGAGCTTAGAAGACTTCGATTTAGGCTGCTTTGAGGAGCCTAGAGCTTTAGTAGAGTCCTTAGAGGAGGACTGTTTCTGTTTAATTTTGACCTTTGAAGGCTTTTCAGATGCCTGAAGCTGCTCTGGAGTGAAAATCCTGAGGGCTGGCATAACCTTTGTTGGTGGTGGAGTTAGAGCTGGAAGGATTGCAGCAACAGTTGATACTGTAACTGGTGCTGTGATCTTTATAGGAAACTCCTATTTGACTTGGGCAATAATGCGATCATGCTGGAACCTTGGTCACCATTTTACACTGGATTGCCTGCAAACAAAGTTAGAACAAATTTCCCAAGACCATTTGTAAATCCAGGGAATCTTATATTTACTAAAGAATATTAACAGACTCGTAAAATGAGTTCTGTCATAATAACTAGGTTTATAAACAGAGGCAAAGTAGGTGACCTGATCTTGTAGGTCCAGGGGTAAAATTTTAGGTATGGGGTCATGAAGAAGCCACCACTGTGCAAACCAGGCAGAAATCTGACTTTTGAAATTCTTATCGAATTGGATGAACCAAGAATGAGTTAATGACTCATCCTGATAGAGGAGAAGTTTATTTCATGATTCAATGTAATCATAATAATTAAATTTCTTTTCATATCCCTCGAGATCTTTGAGCGAAAAAAGATAAGATCCTCATTCTTTGAGACAGATTAATTTTAAAATATATAATGAATGATATATTACTTTACTTGTGTCATTCCTATCAAATATGAGTTTGATATGAATAGACTGGGTAAAAAATAATATATCTTGATAAAAAGTAAATGCTTTCTCTGGGTCAGATGGGATAAAGTTCTATCCTAGTTCCAGATAAATATTTACTATGTCCTTTGGGTCGCTTAGGTGAGCATGAATGGGTTCAATGACAAACACTTTAATGAGTTCACCTTTTTTAGCATAATCAACTTTTGGGCCTATGTGGGCTATGAAAGTTGGCTTGGGTTTAGAAACTGGGTATGGAACAACTAGTTGACTTGGGGCAACTAATTGTGGGCTTGAAGAACTAATTGGTTCTTTTTGGACCATTTGAAAAAAAGTGGATGGGACTACTAAAGTAGACTGGACCACTGGTCTTATTGGGTTAGGTTTACCAAGAGGTTGGTAACGATTAACAATTTGAATTGGGTTTGACAAGACTACTAGGCTTGGCAAGGTTAATTGGATTTTGGTTTTTGCAGTATCTCTCCCGGCTTTGGAAGATGTACTAGCCTTACTAATTTTCCTGTCCGTCATGATGTTCCTGCAAAAATTCACGAGTTAAGAAATCAGGTATGCAGTTATTACTGCTTTTAATATATTCGATGTCAAAATCAAAAATATTTAAAATAGACTGTCATGTGGTAAAAATCTGCTTACTAGCAATGTTTTGTACATCATTTTTCAAAACATATTTTGCAGATTTGCAATCAACTCTTACTAAACTTTTTTGATTTAAAATATCATCCTGGAATTTAGAGATACATAGGACAATAGATAAAATTTCTTTTTTAATAGTACTATAACCCACCCACAAGGATCGCCTAGTGCATATCAGATTTGGCTGCGGGTAGCCTACTGCTACCCGAAGTTAGGCCCGACCGCCCAATAACTTGTCAGGTAAGGGTTTGGGCATACCCTATCTAGGTTCAGTCCGAAGGTGGTGGTGGTGGGTGGTGGGTGGTTTTTGGTTGTGGTTTTGGTGGTGGTGGTTGTGGTTGTGGTGAGATGATGATTGTAGTGATAATAAATATAAAAAAAAAATAATAGTAAAGATTTTTATAAAAAACTTCCTTGTTTAGGAGTAGTTTTATAAAGGATTGATCATATAGATTTTTGATTTTAAAACTGATAAGATTGAACCTTAAAAGTGTTGAGATTAGATATAAAGTCAAAAAAAATTAAAAATTTTCATTCTCGCCCCATTTAATTTCTCATTATCAAATTACTAAGCCTACATCTCCTATACACACTACATTAGTAACTAAGTTTATCCCATGGTACATAAACTTCCTTTAATAAGTAAACCAACTTTATATTTTGTTATAATTAGAGTTTCATTCTCTATCTCATTTCACTCACAAAAATGCTTTTTCAAGTTAGTATTACTTCTCAATTTAATTTTATATTTGATTTTATGTCTGTTATATAAATTTTTATTATTTTTCTTATTTTCTTTTTTCTTGTCTTGACATGCTTGTTTTTTTTTACTTGTTTCATTTTGGTTGTTTTTTTTTTGGTATCAATTTTGCTTAGTTTTGTTTTTTGTTTTTTTTTTATTTCGTAAATACATTTATGCATTCAAATTAATTGTCTTCTTTTATTATTTTTTTCTTACGTCGACTTCTTTCATTATAGAGATGTATATAAAACGAGTGAATTTAACGATTACTGAGATGTATATAGCGTCTAGTGGATTTAATTACTAATACGGTGGATATAAAAAAGGTGAACTTAATAATTTAATACTAAAAAATTAAATAAGATAGAAACAGAGTATTGTGGGGGTAAGAATAGCCACATCCAATAATTTTTGCGTGTATACATCTCACCAAATGTAAAGCGAAGTGTGGAGAAAGTCGTCGGGTGTGGACTTGAAGGAAAAACAAAAAATTATTTATTGAAAGTGATATATTAGCAAACATTGAATATAAAATTTTAATTAATAATTTTGCATCACAAAAAATTAGAAGAATAATTTTTAAATAAAATTAAGAATATATATATATCTATATAATAAAGTACATCTAAGTTTGAATCCAAAGACAAAGAGGGGTCTAAATTATTTTGAGACAAAACATAAACACATCTAACGAACAACGTAATCACAATATAAAGACGGTTCAGATCATCTTAATAATTTTGATCTAACGGTCTACAGTTAATACTAAAATTTATTTTTCTGCCTAACATTTCTTGAGTCACGTTTCTCCTCCGAAATCTCTCAAATCTTTTCCAATCTCATCTGAAACCCAAATCCCGCTTAGCTGTACACACACGGCACCCCCAAGCACTCCGGGCCTTGCGAAACACTCTCTCCCTCCTCTGCGGATAAAGACCCAGGACCCTTATCTCCTCGCTCTCGCTCTCACTCTCACTCTCTCATCGATCCCTCCTATGCAGATAAAGACTATTTTCGTAGAGTTTTATTTTCAAATAAACCTACTTCCTGGGTATTAGTTTGACATTTAAAATATACTGGTGCTCTGTTTGACATGCTAATGTGGAGTATATTTAGATAAGATCATTCCTTCTGATAAAGATGGTTCTTATTGTGCAGAGAAACAACTGCAATTTGGGTTTCTGTAGATGTTCCAAGTGCACAACCCCCGGGTCAATATGAAGGGGAGTTCGTCATTACTGATACCAAAGCAGACACAGAGTGATAGTCTATCCTCTTTACTCCAGTTAAATATTAGTTTTGTTATGTGAGATTTCATTTATTAATTGTCATTGTTTGGACTGTGCAATTTTTTTGATACTTGAAATGGGAAAGTCGGAATGGTTGATGCAACTAATTGTTTGCTCAAATTTGTCATATTCTGAATCAACACAGATGTACAGCGCAAAGCCTGGGCAAAGCTGAGAAGCATCAACTTTACATAGAACTTAGGAATTGTCTTGACATGGTGGAACCGGCACGGATAATTCCTACAATAGTATGAGACAGCGATCTCCAAGTTGGCGAAACTAAAACAACAGGGTCAGAAAAAAGAGGGTTAGGTGAGTGCCCGACTAATCTCCTCCGAAGCGTAAGTCAATAAAAGGTCGAAGGGTTTTGCTCAATGAACTATTTTTATTATTCGAGTTTGCGTATCTTTGTCAATTTTTTTGAGGAGTATTTATACCTGAATTAGTAATGATTGCCAAAGATCTCCAGTCTCATCTGGACATCTTACATCTGACACATCATTCCTTGTGCAATGAGTGTTTTCTACTCACGTCTCCTCCACTTGAATGCTAGGAAAATGGGATAAATGCTCGGCCAAATGATCGGCATCCGACATCCACTGAGTATTGAATACTCGGGGAGAGCAATTCCTCGGGAAAGCCAATCACGTCGTCTCGGCGTATCAACCATTAATGCTTAGTCATCATAACAGTAGACTTAAACTCCCAGAGATCAACCATTAATACTTAATCATCATAACAGTAGGCTTAAACTCCCAGAGGGCAGGTGCTGGCAGGAGCGCATTTAGTTGTCTTGTCACTATCACTTATTCCACCATAAATGAGGGGACACATCGCATTAAATACGATGTCAATTGTTGTACTCGGCTGCTCCGTGTCATCATATCTTGGCTTACCTTTTCAGCACTTTTGAATATCCCAACGGCTTCATTATGCCACGTGTCAACCCAGAGAACTGTAGAGCCACCTAGAGTCCCACCAAAACCCATCGATGGAAAACCATCCGACAAATTGGTTGGTTTTTGAAACTATAATTTTATATGCTCGGATTGCCTTGGTTTGTTATATAAGCTGTTCATATGAGCTTTTGCTTTTGTAGGTAGAAAGAGTGAAATCTGCAACTATATCTTTAAGAAGAGTTCTTTTGTCGCCATCATTTGCTGACTTCTTTTCAGATAATGGGCCGGTGGATATGATGGATGAAGATGCTATTTCAAACCTTTCAATACGCATAAAGCTAAGTTTGATGGTCTGGGACTTTGTTCCGCCGGCGACACCTTCTCTTTCTGCTGTTATTGGTGTATCCTGCATCTATATTTGATCTAAATTTTAGTTTTGGGAGATTTTTCATTGTTTATGTCATATATGTGGGTTTTACTTTAATTGTATGGATAAACTATGTAAATAAGTTCAATTTTCACAATGTTAATAACATTTCTTTGTTGTCGGCATGTACGAATGTCTTTTGTTTTTATGTTCTTTTATAATATTACGTAGTTTGGTTGATTGAGTGATTTATTTTCATAATTATCCTCTAACATGCTTTCTTGGTGAACTTGACATTTGAATGGTTGATCTTTAGTTGGAATGAAAGGAGATTATCTGCATGTCTTTTTTAATATCATTGGTGTAAAATAGATCTTTAGTTGGAATAAAAGGAGAATATAAATTGTGCATATTGGTTGAAATTTTTGGAATGATAATATCATTGAGGCGTGAATTTTTATTTTTTGGGGTTGAGTTTTGTCCATTTTTTTTAAAAAAAAGTGGTTGTCGCGATTTATTATTAGAATTTTTATTTTTCATATAAGTAATACTTTGTTAATTATTTATGTAAAATGAAGATGTATTAAAGGATGTATTTTAGACTTTCAACTTAGTGTTGGTCTAAGTTTAATACTTAATTATTTTGTGTTCACAATTAATATTCAATGTTTTTTTTATTTCTAACGTGTCTATGTTAAGTGTTTGATTGTTTCGTTTTCAAGAATAATATAAGTTTTTTTTTTTTTTTTAAATTGCACAATTTCAAGCACGGATTATAGGGATAATTTAGGCTTTCAGCTTAGTACACGTCCGAGTTCAATGTTTCATTATTTCGTGCTCAAATTTAGTGTTCGATATTTTTTGAATTGTACCGTAATTTTAGGCACGGATTATCCCTAGTATATATAAATAAAGAGACTCGTTCCAAACTTTCGCTTAGAGCCTGCCGTTCCATCGAGCCGGCCTGCCACTAGTTTTAATAATTCAGTTTGTTAATGTAAGGACAAAAAGAGTGGGAGGCAGAGAGCTCTGTCGGGTTGAAACAAAGTGAGTAGTAAAGACAGCCAAGGAGAGAGGGAGGGAGTTGGGTGGGGCCCATTTTATAGAAGTTTAATTAGATTTAATGTTTAAATAAAACTTTTAGATATATTTTCAATTAACTTCAAATGGTAACATAAGACACCATTTGAATCTATTATGGTTCAATGAGTCCCCATTGTTAAGGGACTTGACCTCCTCTTATGTAGCAAAATAGCAATCAATCCCTACATTTATGGGATTAGATTTATTTATTTATTTATTTTTTATATACGAAACAGATAATAATGATATTTCATCAACTATGCAAACAGTCATATCGCATGAGATAGTACAAAAATTCTGGACACTCTCTCCTCCAACAAACGGACCCAGTACATGTCAAAGCAAATTTAACTAAATAATTAGCAACATGGTTTTCAGAACAACGTGTCCACTTCACTAAAAAATTCTGTAAGTAGATTTGCATGAGCTTGGACTAGCTCCACAAAGCTTCCAATATCGGATTTGTATATTATATATATATAACACATTTGTGAATAAAATAAGAAAAATTCTATAAAAGATAAATTAATTGCATATGGTTAATATGATCTTGTGGAAATATTTAACTTACATTTAGGAATAAAATAACTTTGTGGTATTGTTCAAAGATAAAATTAAAAATTAAAAGTTTTGAAGAATAGTTAACATTAAATTAGTGGCAGAGAAAATTAATTAAGGAAGTGAAGAGGTGGTCTATTGAAATTGAAAGAATAGGTATTCAATCCTGAGTTAATATAATAAGATGGTTCAAGCGGGCGGCATGTTAGGAGGTAATGACATGCCAAAAGTCCAAAGTCATTATTACTACTAAATGGAGAGAGAGAGAGAGAGAGAGAGAGTTGGAGATGAAGAAAATACAAAAGAGAAGTTGAGTGAAATGTTGGGTACCAGAGAGTCTGTTGAAGGGGATCATCAATGCGAGTAAGGAATTTTTCAATCTGACAGAGGAGGAGAAAAAGGAGTTTGCAGGAAGGAAAATTTTAGACCCAATCAAGTGCGGTACAAGCTTGAGTACTTCAAACGGAATGATTTCCTTGGGGGTAGATTTTCTCAAGCTAATTGTGCAGCCGGATCAGTTTCACTCTCCCAACAAACGTTACAAACCTATAGGTTTCAGGTACAAATATTCATCACATCTTTTCATTCACTTAGCCACTCACACTATTGCTAAAAAATATTAAATTCAGCCATTTTGAGGGATTTCTATCCACTCCAATAAATATTTATTCAATTTTTTTCATGGTTCATCGAATTTTTTTTAATGAACGTGTGTATTCACATTTTCTCAAAACAGTACCCAGAAAACAAGCTCGCTTGTTTTCAATTTTTTACACTAGGGCTTCCTTGGTTTTTCAAACAATAATGTTATGCTGAACCAAATTTTAGAATCAAATTTATAGCCCAAATGACATGACAACATATTATTTAGAGTCTTTATTGGGACCCAAATGACATGACACCAAATAAAAAAGTCCAAGTCAGCTGCTATGTCATTTGAACTCTAAATTTGGTCACAAAATTTGGTTAGTGTAGCATTACTGTTTTTCGAAAATTGGAGAAGCGAAAAACAAAACCAAACAATTTCCTCCTTGTTTTTAAGATTTTAAGAATAAAAAATATTTTATAAAACCAAACCAAACAAACTCAAATTTTTATTCAAATTAAAAAAAACTCAAATTTTTAGGTTAGATTTTACTCTCTTTAACGATTTAATAGTCAAATTTCACTTTTATTTAAATTTGAATTTGATCTCGTTTAAATTTGAGTTCGTTCTCTTTTAAATTTGTGGTTGTTAATTGGAATGTTTTCTATAAAATCAATTTTTTTATTCAAATTTCTGACTCTTTGGTTGTGGCTGCTGCAGTGAGGTCGCAGTGGAGTATTGCAACAGTGGCCGGAGAATAGTAAGAGAATTACTCAAAGGAATATCGGAGAGCCTAGGATTGGACAACTATTATGTGGAAAAAACCGTGAATTTGGACTCAAGTGCACAAGTCTTTTCTGCCAATCTGTATCCACCTTGTACACAGCCTCAACCTGCAATGGGTTTGCCACCTCATTCGGATCATGGCCTACTCACCTTCCTTATTGTCACAAGGTAACTTTCATTTTTTTTTTAAAGTTACCTGTGAAGGCGTTGCTATTACAATCAGTCACACTCAACTCAAGAATAAGGGACAGAAACTCACACAGAAAGCACACACGAATCTACTGGGACAACACTCTCAAACCTTATATATTGAACTCAATAATTTACAAGGACTCTCAAAAGCCAGAACACTCTCTGCCTTCCAGAATGCTCAAGCACCTCTATTTATACAAGAGAAAGACAGATGACACCCCCATCTGTCAAGGGGTAGTTACCCACGTTTTTGCTATTCCATAGTATACTGGACTAGTAGACTTGGTCTCTGTGCAACACCTGACAGGCAGTTCCACCACTTCAAATAACTGCTGTGGAACTGCCCTTTTATTAGCATGCATCTAGACTGGATTCAGACTGGGGACATCCAGAACTGCCTCAGCAACTGCCTTGATTGAGTCTCAGCATCATAACTGTCCACATCCTCCTGGTCACATGCATTGAGCAGCCATGTGCCAATCAGGTGCCCACATTCAACAGCCATGTGCCCATATTCACCGGTCAACCTTGCTACACGAACTAATGTGCATGCTGGGTTCAACCCATGCCATGCAATCCGACGCTCTGTACCCACATTGCTTCAATTGAGCCCACCCATCCTGTCATGCTCAACCGGGTGGTCTCATGCTGCCTTAGTTCGCCCCAATCTGTCGAACCACTTAACCGCGTCACTTTGATTTTAATTTTTGGCATGCCGTGATGTAAGGTGTCACCAAAATCGGTGATTTGCACCCAAGTCAAATTAGGGTGTGACACTTATACAGAATGACGTTCCGGGCCTCCAAGTGCAACACAACGGAAAGTGGATCACTATCAATCCCCTTCCTAACTCTTTTCTGGTAAACACTGCCGATCAGCTTGAGGTAAATGTTTCTCCTGCTAATCTCTGATCGCTTCTAAGTTATATATAACCCATGATCATCCGAATGTGTTGATCTCTACCTACATAGTACGAGTTAGAATGTGTTGATTTGTAAAAGTTGTGTTTTGCCAGATTTTCAGCTATGGGAAGTACAAGACTCTCATGCATCGAGCGATTCTGAATAACAAAGTTACAAGAGTTTCTATAGCCATGGCCAATGGACCCTCTTTCGAAACAAGTGTTGGCCCAGCTTCCAAGTTGGTAGACAGTGAAAACCATCCCGCTGCATGTAGTCCAATGAATTACAAGGAGTATGTGGAGCAGCAACAACTCCAGTCTCTTGGGAAAACCCCCTTGGATCAAGTTCGGATTGAGGTTCAAAGCAAGTAGCTGTTTTGCATCATATCCACAAGGCCCAATCAGAATTCACTCAGATCACTGTCCTCTTATCTGTAGATTTTCTGAAATTGCAGCTCCAAGGAGGATATCTTATTTTAAATTTCTGGATACGTGGACGGAACATCCGGGTTTTCTAAAGTTAGTGGAAGATAACTGGACGGGCAACTATTCTAATAACCCAATTGAGAACGTGTTTTTGAAACTAAAGTACTTGAAATTCCATTTGAAAAAGTGGAATAAAGAAGTTTTTGGTAATGTGTTTGATAATATCAAAGTGAAGGAAAGGCAGTTGCAGCAAGCTGAACGAAGAGTGGAGGAGGATGATTCTGAGTCAAATGAGCTAGCATTGAACAATGCTAAAATGGAACTAGATGAAGTTCTCAGACTGGAAGAAATGTATTGGAGGCAGAAAGTGAACATACGATGGGCCCTTGAGGGGGAAAGAAATACCAGACTATACCATGCCATTGCTAGAGGCAAGGTCGCCAGGAACAGGATTTCAAGAATTAAAAATGCGGAGGGGCATTGATTAGAGAAGGAAGAGGCTATTGCTAATTGTGCAGTGGATTTCTTTTCTGCACTATATAGCTCTGAAGCTCACTCTATTGATTATAGCATGTTTAACAACATTCCCAATCTGGTTTCTCTTGAAGAAAATATGATGCTTAACTCCCCATCCACATTGGAGGAACTCAAATCTATTATCTTTGGCATGTCTACACACAGTGCACAGAGAGCTGATGGATTTAAGGTAAGTTTTTCCAGACAACCTGGGAAATTATTAAGAATGACCTTCTGGTTGCAATCAATTTTTTCCTTCAGGGTGGGGTGATTCCTAGATCAGTTAATACTACTATTTTGTCTTTGATGCCCAAAAAAGACATTACATCAACATTTGCTGATTTTAGACCCATTAGCCTTTGTACTTTTTTATACAAAATTTTCACAAAAATGCTAGCAAATAGACTGGGGGTGTTGTTGCCTAAGCTAATTTCAGCTGAACAGCATGGGTTTGTCAAAGGAAGAACTATGGGGGATAGCATTGCTCTTGCACAGTTTATGATGAATGATCTTGACCGAAAGGTGGAAGCTGGAAATGTTATTGTTAAGCTTGATATGATGAAAGCATTCGATAGATTGGAATGGGATTTTTTGGAGCATACTTTGAATAGCTTTGGTTTTTCTGAAGACTTCATAGCCATTATTTCTAACTGCCATAGCCATCAGAATATCCCTTTATCTATTAATGGTGCTCGACATGGTTTTTTTCCAGCTCTAGAGGTTTAAGACAGGGTGATCCTTTGTCACCCTCCCTTTTCATCTTAGCCGAGGAAGTGCTGAGTAGAGGATTGAGCTCTCAGTTTGAGCAGGGTCTAATTCAAAGTTATCACACAGGAAGAGGTTCAAGATTTCTAAGCCACTTATTATTTGCAGACGACACCCTCATCTTCCTGAGAGGGTACAAGAGGTCTATGATCAACCTTTTGAAATTTGTACGCAGGTATGAGCAGTCATCTAGCCAGAGGGTAAACAAACAGAAAAGTTCCCTTTATTGCTCTTCTAAAATCTCAGTTGCAAGGAAAAATATCCTATCACAGGTTGCTAATATTCCCCTTAAGCAAAGTCCTTTTACATACTTAGGCTGTCCAATTATTAAAGGGAGGGTTAAGTTGATCTATTTTGAGAAGTTATTGCAGAAATTTCAATCAAGGTTGGAGGGCTAGTATGCGAAACTCCTCTCCAATATGGGAAGAATAGTCCTTATTAAATCTGTGCTATGTTCGCTCCCCATTCATCTGCTTGCTTCCTTGAACCTTCCTAAAGGAATCATAGCAAAGATGAACTCCGCTATGTCTTCTTTTATGTGGTCTAGTAAGGCAAATGTAAAGAAAAGGCATTTGGTTTCTTGGTATAAAGTTGCTCTGCCACTAAGTGAGGGTGGTTTGGGAATTCGAAAATTTGGGGACGTGCAGAATTCATTTAGAATGAAGCAGGTGTGGAACCTTTTGCAGAATAGCTCCCTGTGGTCCTCTTTCTTTTCTACAAAGTATCTAAAGGGTAATCACTTATTGCGTTTCACTAATCAGGTCCAGTCCAGGTGCCTTAAAGTGTTATTTCCATGGTTTGAAGTCATCATTAGCAATTCAAAGAGGTTTGTTGGTTCAGGCTCTAGTGTGAATTTCGGTGTGATAATTGGACTGGTAGAGGCCCTCTCCTTCTTAGGAATTCAACTACGCCAGTTCATTTGCCTAAGCTGTCGGTGTTGCTTATTCAAGGTCAATGGCAATTAGAAAGTGTAATTCACCAGTTAGATCAGAATCTCCTCCAGGAGGTTCTCTCTTCTGGGGTTATCCTATCAGAACAACAAGACAAGCTCATTTGGCAGCCCAGTTCACTGGGGAACTTTTCTATCAAGACAGCATGGGAATTATCTAGGAGGAATAATATGCTAGATAATCAGGCCATTAGCTTATGGAAGCAATGCTCTCCGCCTAGTGCACAGTTAATTGGATGGAAGCTTATGAAGAATGCACTTCCCCTAGACTTAAAATTCAGGAGCTTGGGATTCTCTTTGGCAAGTAGATGCCCTTTATGTTGTTGTGAGGAGGAATCTGCTTCTCATCTATTTATCTCTTGCACTTACTCCTCTCAACTTTGGTGCAAAATTTTTAGTCTGTTTGGTTTTTAGGTGTTCCCCGCAGAGTCTCCAACATCCAGGTTTCTCAGATTATGCAAGATTTATCCAAAAAAGTCTATAGTCATACTATAACGAGGAGTATACCTCTGCTGGTTTTCTGGCAGCTATGGAAAGAACGTTGCAATAGGGTCTTTGAGAATCAGAGGAAGTCTCTTAACTCTCTATTTTCTCTTATTATTCATCTGCTTAGGTTACAAGCAGTTATATTTAAGCCCAAAGTCTTGGATTCTGTTAATGGACAATCCATGCTCCAGTCTCTTAATATCAGGTTGTGTACAAAGGTTTATAAGAGTGTTAAATGGATTTGTTAGAATTTTCCTCCTCAGGGTACTCTTAAGCTAAATACATATGGCGCCTCAAAGGGCAATCCCGGTCAATCAGGTGGTGGTGTGGTCCTACGTAATGAGTGGGGTCAGTTGGTTCTAGCTGGATCATATTTCTATGGTTTTTGCTCTAATATGGAAGCAGAAATTCTTGCCCTCCTAGATGGTCTGCTTCTTGTGAAAAATTATGGGTTGGAGGTTTATCCCTCAATTATTGAGACAGATTCTCAAGTCCTAGTGGACCTAATTAAGCAGCTGTCTATGTTAGCGTGGAAGTTTTGGGCCCTCTCTCGCAAGATTTTTACTATTCTCCAAAGTTTTGAGTATCAAATACAGCATTCCTATAGAGAAGGAAATGCAGTTGCAGACTCATTGGCCAATCAAGGAGTCTGTGACCAAGTTTCTCACACTCAAACTTCTTCCTATACTCCGAATCTACATACGAGACAACTCCTAATGCAAGATCAACGACAAATTAAGTCTCTACGCTCTAAGGTCAAAGTACTCCCATAGTTGATCTGGATTTGGACCTTTGATGCAACATCCATATATGCAGTTTAAGTCTTTTCTTCAGAGATATGTTCAAGTAAATCAGATTTATTCCTTAGCATGCAATAGAAATAGATGGCCATCCAATAAAACAAACACAACAGTTCATCCAAGGCCCTATTTTCCAGAAACAAAGAAACTACAGGAAAGTAGATTAAGGCGGGCACCTGCTTTGGGAACAGATCTTGATTCTGCACCGAGTTTTGGTCTGCTGCTGATGCTGAATGCTCTGACTCGTTGTCCTCTGCTTCAACTGGAATTTCTTTGGCTCTTCATGACTACTTTGTTGGAACTTCATGGCTGATGAGGAGGTGCTTTGTTCTGCAACAACGCTGGCATGGATTCTCCCAGGCAGAGACTCTCTGCCTCTTCTGTGGAGTGATTCTCTTCTGTGGTTTTTTCAGAGCTCTCCTCCATCTCAGACTCTCCCTCATACGTCTCTCACAATGCCCTTTGGTTTTGCCAAAACTAAGGCTCTCAAACTTCTCTCACTATTCAGAGTACATGGAACACAGCAATAGTCTGTCCAGCGGCCTTATGCTTCGCACTTCGTGCCATATCAGATGTCTCCTCACTTCATTTCAATAGGTGCAGCTGTAATTCAATATGGCGGCTGCCTTATCAGCTGCTCTGTTCCAGCTCACAGCTCACCAGTTCACTCCTCTCAACTGGATCCCCTCGGCTGCTGGATGCCTCATCTTCAACTATCAGCTCAGCAACACTCTCAGCTCACTCTCACGTCTGCTTCATTACTGCAGCCCACATTTACATTGCATCTGTCAGCTGTCTATTCTATTTTAGGAGCAGCATGTTTAGAATTTATTTCTTTTATTTATTATGTACTAAGCATGCATTTTGCTCTCTTTTCAATTATGTTGGATGTAATTAGATTGCATAGATGGGTAAGGTACATACGTAGCCTAGTAATTTAATTTTTTAATCAATAAAATCTCTAGGCAATTGTGGGAACTAAATAAATTATCAAAATTACTACAAAAAATAATCAAATTATNTTTTCAATTATGTTGGATGTAATTAGATTGCATAGATGGGTAAGGTACATACGTAGTCTAGTAATTTAATTTTTTAATTAATAAAATCTCTAGGCAATTGTGGGAACTAAATAAATTATCAAAATTACTACAAAAAATAATCAAATTCTTTTCAAATATATTCAGGAGACTTTACCTAAAAAAAGGGTCAAATTTAAGCATTGGNTTATATTTAAGCCCAAAGTCTTGGATTCTGTTAATGGACAATCCATGCTCCAGTCTCTTAATATCAGGTTGTGTACAAAGGTTTATAAGAGTGTTAAATGGATTTGCTAGAATTTTCCTCCTCAGGGTACTCTTAAGCTAAATACATATGGCGCCTCAAAGGNAATATCAGGTTGTGTACAAAGGTTTATAAGAGTGTTAAAT